ACACGGATGACACGCTGGGCTTCGCCCTGGGCTCCCTCTTCGTCAAAGCTACCTTCGACCGGGACAGCAAGGCCATCGTGAGGACGCTTCTGCCCCTGTCCCCTCCCCATCACCATCCGTGGGAACCCCCCCTTTTCCCCCCAAACCCCAGGGCTGGAAGGCAGGGAGCAGGGAAACGGGACCCCCAGCCCTGGGGAGTCACATCCTGCCCACCCTGTCCCTGTCTGAGGGGTTGCGGGGGGCAGAGGGACCTTCATTCCCTCCCCTCCCCTCCCCAGGCTGAGGAGATGATCAGCGAGATCCGGGCAGCATTCGAGGTGTCCCTGGACCAGCTGGACTGGATGGACGAGAAGACCAGGCAGGCTGCAAAGGAGAAGGTGACCCTGGGGACGGCAGAGGGTGGGAGACCCCTCCACTCCCAGGAAGCCCCCCCACCCCATCTCACTGTCGGGGCCTCTCCCCACACAGGCGGACGCTATCTACGACATGATCGGCTTCCCCGACTTCATCCTGGACAACAAGGAGCTGGATGACGTCTATGATGGGGTAGGGGAGCACCTGGCTCACAGGGAGGGGGCCTGGTCCCTGCTCACGCCAAGCCCTGCGGGGCCCCATGGTGGGGCGATGTCCCTATTTGGGGGACCCGTTTGGGATGGGGAGTTATGCAGAGCCACCCTGGTACTGAGTACATCCCAGACAGGGTGGGGAGAGCAGTCCCTGATGGACCCTTCCTCATTTCTCCTCTTCCTCACCAGTACGAGGTCTCGGAGGACTCCTTCTTCCAGAACATGCTGAACTTCTACAACTTCTCTGCCAAAGTGATGGCCGACCAGCTCCGGAAACCCCCCAACCGTGACCAGTAAGGGGGGGGGCTCAGAGAATGTGACACTGGCACAGTGTCACAGCACTGTCCCCAGCACGGCCTGGGTGGCACTGGCTCACTGGGGGGAAGGTCCCCCCATGGGGTGGCACAGCATTTTGGGTCACCTGCGGTGACTCTGGCTTGTCCCTGGGACAGGGTCCCTTGGTCATGGGGCGGCGGTGCCAGCCCCAGGCAGGGCAGCACAGGGGACCCGCGGTGGGAGATGGCACAGGAGGGTGCCACGTTGGAGGGGGGAGAGGGGACGCATCCCTGCCTGTCCCCTGTCCCACCTCTCTGCCGCAGGTGGAGCATGACCCCGCAGACCGTCAATGCCTACTACCTGCCCACCAAGAACGGGATCGTCTTCCCCGCCGGCATCCTGCAGGCTCCCTTCTACGCCCGCAACCACCCCAAGTGAGCCTGGCACGGGGATGGGGGGGCACAGGCTGGATCAGGGCCAGCACTCCACAGAGCCCCCCCCCCAGTCATGAAGCAAAGCCCTAGGGGGTCTTGAGGGTCCCTCAAGGCTTTACATCCCACAGACAAACCAGCCTGCAAAGTCCCTGTGGGGCCACCAGTGTCCCCAACAGAACTCATTCCCAGCTGGGTGCCAACCAGAGCAGAGTCTTGCCGGGTGCCCCAGACACAGACGGGGTGCCCAGGCTGTGGAGGGCGTGCCCGGGCTGGGGGCAGGCTTTGATGGCATCATCCCCCCACACTTACCTGGCTCTTTCCCACGGCCCCACAGAGCCCTTAATTTCGGCGGCATCGGCGTGGTGATGGGGCACGAGCTGACCCACGCGTTCGACGACCAAGGTGAGAGCCCGCAGGCAGCGCAGCCCTGACCCCCATCACCTCCCTGCCCCCCGCCCGGCCCCTGCCCTCGGTGTGGGGAGGGGGGGCCATGGGCGCCGGGGGG